ACCTCCACATACAACATCCATTTCCTGGGAAAGTCCATGCGCATGCACAAAGCAGCGGAGCGAAGGAGATGTACGGCGATGGACTCTAGAATGGAGGCCTTGCTTTCAGATCGACGAATGCATGTATGTATGTATGTATGTATGTAGTATGTATGTAGTATGTATGTAGTATGTACGTATGTATGGCGCATGAAGCCACCATCACAAGGTCGCCCAACTATCACCCAATGCGGTCTGTCGGCCAGTGAACAAATGCAGTTCAATAAAGCTGCCTGTCCTCATTTGAATAATATTTTATCTCTTGTAAACCCCTCACCTCTCTCTTCCCCCGGGGAGGAATCGGGCCGTAAAACATGACACTGTGTGTTTCACACAGCCTCAAACTTTTATTTATCGATGCACCACTGAACTGCACTGCCAGGAAAACCCCTGTCTCTCTGAATGCATGTCATAAACAAATTTTAACCGCCTGTACGACCAGCGTGTATGTAATTGTACGTGCATGCATGCACGCACGTGATTGCATGTGTCTACATGAGGAAGATTGAGGGAAAATACGGCACTTTGGGCAGTGTAACAGCAGCTATATGCTATTGGATCATAACACAGGGCTAATGGATTATGACAAAGTGAGTTTGGAGCCCACTGTAACAGCCACACACACACACACACACATACACACACACACACATACACACACACACACATACACACACACACACACACACACACACACACACAAGGCGGCTAAATGAAAGGAGGCATTTCGCCGCGTGAAGTGGGCGCAAGAGCCGCATGGCTGCGTGCAGTAGCCGCACACCGCCACCGTGCAGCACAGGAAACAGAAGCGCGCGAGGAGGTGTGTGCGAGGGCGAGGGCACGCGCATCGCCCTCCATGGCGAGGTCCGAAGCCACTACTTGCTGCGGACACGTCGAATGATGAACACCCGATGTTGTGTATAGGTGATGTATAGGCAGACAGACGGCCATGCTAACGTTTATGTATGTAGGTATGGTTGCGTCAAAAACAGCTGGCCGAAAACATAGATATTGAAAATAGTTTTTAATCATTTTCAGCATTCGGCGAGTAATAAAACACAGACACACAGACAAACGCACACACGCGGGCGGGCGCGCTTCCATTATTGTATAAACATACATCCAAGCATACGCGTATTTTCATTATACAGACATACATCCAAACATACGGAATTTTTATTTTACTCTATTCGTCACTCGACATTGATGCGATGGACCCTTGCCTGTATTCTAATCCCTGATCCACATGACCACCACCATCATCACCACCATTGGGCAAAAACAGGCGCGACCGCACGCCGTACGGTACGAACGTAAAGTAAGAACCTGCGGTACAAACTGCTGCAAAATTATCTACCGAAGGTCGGGAGGCGCTCCTTTTTGCGCTGCGCCTCGCGCGACCGCCTCTGCCCTACTACCCCGGGCCGCACTACAACCTAAGAGACCCAAACCACTTCACATTAGAGTACGTACGACAAACGTACGAAACTTTAACGGCCGTATCATCGTTCAAAAACATGCGGCAACTTACTGGCACATTCATTAGCACAAGTTGCATTCGATACATTTTTTATCCTTTTTAATTTAGTTTCTATTTTTATTATTCCCGGCTTCATGGCGATGAGTCACATGACGATCACGACGTTTCGGGTGCACGTCTATGTTATCTATGTATATATAAATTATTTAACGCTCCTATAACTCTGAATCAAAACCCGCGTCCCATCAAAATTCCCACAAAAATCATTCATCAGAAATCCGACATATGGCACAAAGTCCATTATACATTTTTCGTGCATATGCTCATATGATTCATCCATCCATTCATCCACTGGAAAATACGCTATCACGACACGACATGCAGGCTCTTTATTTCTGGTGAATGGATGTATGAACATGGGACATAGAAAATATCGCCAAGAATCATACAGGCAGCATTAGCCACGTTGTAACACACATACATACACACACACAGGTGCACGCGCCTCCTCTACTTCTCAGCAAGCCCCAGGGCCTCAATCATCAAATATCGCGAACCTCCCTACTAAAGTCCTGCTTTGGCACCTTGCCTCGCGCCTGCCCCCCTACCGCGCCATGTAAGTACACGTACACATGTGCACACTCGGGGACACAGAGAGAGAGTGAGAGAGAGAGAGTGAGTGAGTGAGAGAAAAACCTGCTCAAAACCCCTCGGAAAGGCTCCTCGCTCCTCGTGGAAAGTTGCAATTGAAATGAAAGTCAATTTGCTGCGCTGCTCGCGAAATCTTCAACGATAGTTCGAGTGGAAAGAAAAAAACACATATAGCTGGCGATTGACGATAGCTGGTACTGATGCTCACGTGCTGCCCGACGGCGGCTGATGCCACGCCGCCAAGCTGGCGTGGCATTCCGCCAGATAGCTGCTGCCGCTACGGCTGCCATCTAGCGCCGAAACCACGAAGCCCGCAAGACCCGACGGCCGCGGTAGCAGTGCCTGCAGCGATTCAGCCGCACCGAAGCGCTCCGAGGTAGGTTGTCTGTGCAGCAGTCCAGAGCCATCTGCGGCGGCGGCGGCGGCGGCGGCGCCGCTGCTGCTGTCGCGGGAGGCCAGCCGGTCGAGGCCCAGGCCACCCAAAACCAATCTAGTGGATGCACTGCAAGATTGCACGGTATCGACGTCCGCGGCGGCATCAGTGGCGGCGGCTGCGGCGCCGGCGCCGCCGACGGCAGTGGCGGCGGCGCCACAGATGGCGGAGGGTTGGAAAGTTTCAATGGGAGCCATGATTTGCCCGGTAGTCGACCTGCTGATGGTCGCTCTGGTGGTGGCGGTCATGGTGGTGGTGGGATGCGGATCGGCGGTAAGACCCAGGCCGAAGGCGCAGAGGGTAACGGCGGCCGGCTTCTCCTGCTCCAACTCTGCGCCGCCCTCCTCGCTACCCCGGCGAGGGCAGCCCCCACCTCCCGCGCCCTCGTGTGCGGTCGCTGCCGCCGCTTCCAGCAATGTCGTCGACAGCGTCGACGCCGCCTCGGGATGCTCCCCGCCGCCGTCGCCCTCAACCACCACCTGGCCGCCCGCGCCGCCACACGAATGGTACTGCTCCACCGCCGGAGGAGGAGGACGAGGGGATGTCCTGCTCGACTCCACCACCGTCGCCGTACTGACACCCCTTTCCGAACGGCAATCACCGTCGGTGCCGCCGCTGCTGCCCGACGGCGCGGAGGGCAGCTCGGCAATGCTCTTGGCCAGCGCGTCCATCTGCTCCAGCAGAACTTGGGGATCGGGGATGGCGGAGGCGGTTACCGTCCTACCACCGTTGCTGCCGCCGCTGCCGCCGCCGCCGCCGCCGCCGCCAGGGCCCCGCGTATCTCCGGCCAGCCCTTGAGCGCCCTCAGGCGACCGCCAAATAGGAATTGCACTAGCTGCAGTGAGAATCCGCGGCACTGGAGCGCTGCTGCCGCCAATGCCGCGCTCGATGCCGGCGGCGGCGCTGTTTGGAACCGACCCATGGGTCATCAAGAGTGACGAACCATTGTTCAATGGCGGCGGCTGAATGACTGGGTCAGCGTAGCTCTGGGGCGGGGTCCACAGGTGTGTGCGCATGAGGCCCTTGCCCTTCACCTGCGCGCTCAGTTGGAACGGGGGTAAGGGGGGGTCAACAGAGACAACAACGCAACAGAGACACGCGGGAAGGTGTACCACCACCAAGGGAAATCTGAAGACACGCATGGAGATTTTACGCGTGGTAATCTGTCCCCGTGAGTTCCAACTCGCCCTGTTCAATGAGGAGGTTCTGTAGGAGGATCTAAGGACTCACCTCAATGCCGCCTGTGGACTGCCAGCCCGGCTCTTGCTGTAGCATGCCGTAAGTGTCCTCGCTGACGTGGATGCTGCCAGGGACGCCCGTACTCTCCATGCGGCTCGCTGTGTATGGAGCGTTAGCAGGTAGCCAAGAGAAGCAGCGTATCAATGAGAAAGCTCAAGACAAAACTGGAATAAAAGAATAGAAGATCATCTGCTTTTGATAATGATATCACTTTTTGAGTGAACAAGCCCCAAATATCTATTTATTTAGGGTAAACTTCCTATTGATGAATAAAAACGCACCTTTTAAGGGATTTAAACCCTATTTAGAAAGTAAGGGTAAGAATAAACTATTCTTATTATACCCCACCATATCTATTATACAATGATATATATTGTAGTAATTCATTGATACATTGGATAGTACGCTACTTGATTATGTTTTTAGAAAAATAAAAAATAGGGGATTTTAATCTGGATTAGAATCCGTAACGCAATACTTACCTAATCAACCTGATTTCGCTATGAACGTGTTAATTTATGAAAGAACCAGAGAAGAAATTGCTAAGGACTGTTCTCAAGGGTCAGTAATCAAAACTAGTCATGTAGGGGATGTTGCAGTAAGTGTAAACCGTAAGTGATACAGTTTACTTGTAACAGTGGTCTTATTACTAGATTACATATTAGTACAAATTGTGCAAAGGTTAAAGCATTCAGAATAAATATATTTTCATCGTTGTCGATCTGAAAAGAAGCTACGAAATGTTTGAGTTGTTTATGTCGCTAGATGCAACTAATGAGCAGCTCGACTTTCAATAGATGAAGCATTGGTCACCACTGGCGTTGTCACCACTGTGTATGATGTGTGGGACAGGGGGCCATATCTTCACCCTGCGGCCGCTACCCGGCAGACCCTGCCTTCCCCGGTATTTCGGGGCACCCTCATCCAGTTACCCTAGTTAACTTCTCAGTGGATCGCTCAGGTTCCGCACCCACCACCGGCATCCAACGGTGGGTCGACGGCGGCCCAACTCCATTCCTGGTCGGCATGCAAGGTCACTTTATCCCTAGGTCACCAGCGTCCATCGACTAGGGGCACTTTACCCTCCACCATCGAAAGGATTTTCGACCCTGACAGGTCTCGATCCCGGGATCTCCCGGGGAAACCACTGCGTGTTGGCGCCTGGTGGTCCTTACCCGTGTTTACTGTGTCTCCAAACAGACAGAACCTCGGCATGCGTGTTCCCACCACTCCGCTGACCACGGGCCCGCTGTGTATGCCCACGCGGATCTTCACGGGAGCGCCCGTGGTGGGGAGGCGGACACACGCTGCAGCACGGAGCATTGCCTGGGTGGAGCACGAGGGGGGCAGGAGAGGGACGTTACCTAGGGACCTAGGGACTGTGGACCTGTCGGGCTACCTGGTTGATGTGAAGCGAAGGATCGACTTTCCACCATAGTCCGCAACGTCGATAAGGACGTCCAAGGAGTCAATACAACATTTCCTACATCCGCACCTTTGCGAATCCCACCACATTGGCCGCCTGGTCCGGGTCCACAGTCCCCCCTCCCTGGACTGCCGCCATGCCGTCCTCGTCCTCGCGAATAAGGCCCCCGGCGACCATGTAGCAGTCGCCGATGGTCTCAACCTTTAGTAAGACGAGCATTTAGAAGGGCATATAAAGACGTGTGTGAGGAAAGGAGAAAAGGAAGTGAAAGGAGGTGGTATTGTCGAGGGGTGGAAAAAGGCAAGGACAGGGTTGTTGCGGGAACCCCTTTCTGTGACGCACCTACCACCGACATGCCCCAACCAACCCCCACCTTATACACACGATAGAAGTCCAGCATGGCATCGAAGCGCGTGAAGAGGGTGTTCAGGAAGGCCATGACCACGCGGGGCGGCAGCACCTTGCACATGGGGGTGAACCCTGAACCCACAACCGGAGAGCGCGACGTGGGGTGGGGGAGAGCGGTATTGGACGGCGGTATTGGACGAGCACGTGTGGCAGAGAGATGTGAGCGGGGAGGAGGGTGCGGTGCGGCGCAGGGGGAAGGGGGAAGGAGGGTTTGCACCGCAGAGCGGAATGGGGGCGTGTGCTGGTGGATGGGGGGGGCGGGGAAAAGCCTGGAGCGGCCGGGGGGCCGTGGGGGTGGTGGAGGTGGAGGACTATCAAGATGAGTCAAGGTCCCCGGACGTCCGGGAACACCCGGAGGTACTTGTGTGTATCCCTCTCACCTTGGATGTCGGCGAACAGCACCGTCACCTGCGGCACGCAATGGACGATGGGCAAAAGCAGGGGTTCGTACACAACACAAGGCACTGATCAGTGCATCAGGGAA